GAACTTTCGGGAATTTGGCCGCAAGCATGTGGAGCTTAGGGTGTTTGCTTAGTTTAGAGCTTTCTGAGTCTAAGTAGCTGCCTGAGCTTTAGACATCGTAGCTGACCAGCTAAATCTTGAGTTCCAGAGCGGATGGTTTTGGATTCCTGCCATATTGAACATCTCACGCTTTTGCAGCCCGGGACTGCAGCAGCCAGGCAGAAGTGTTACTGTTCGGGCTTGGATTCGGGGTTGAATCTCTCAGGTGTGTTTCGGGTTTGGGTTGGGCAGGGTCCCGCAGCCTGCGTGGCTTCAACTTGAGCGTCCGTTTATGCTAGGCAGCTTGCAGCCGGACTCGCATTTAGCCTTGGAGTCTTGATTGACATGGGCTCCCGACACTTAGCAACAAAGTTCCTGTTTAGTTCTGTAGAGTTGTTTTGCCCCCCGGGCTCTGTCTATAGTACGTAAGGCCCCTGGATGACACTAACATCGGATCTCAATGGTCTCCTTAGATGCAATCATTCCTACCTGTTGTTGCTTGGGGATTTGCAATGGTCTAGGGGTCCAGGATTTACGGCAGCAACTCCCATGATATCTTTGTGTTCAATCAGACTCGCCGATGACGGGTTTAGTTCGATGCTTGCCTTTTTCGGGGATTGCTTTTGGTGTAATTACCCACATGATAGGATCCAAAGAGCTTAACTGCTGATGGACAAAATCCTGCATGACCCACAATAAGGAATACACCATAGTCCCCATAGTTTAGAGTCCTTAGGTCATGCAGGATTTTGTCCATCAGCAGAATTACCACCCAAACACGAAGCTTAGATCCGCATCTTCGAAAGGCGAGCCTTGCTTGGACAAGATCTCCTCCTACGCAACACTCCTCCTCGATGGCTCGAGGCGCTTTGGGGGCATGGTTGCAGTATGGGAGTTTCCGGAAATTAGGGGTACCCTGTTTGGGGGTCCTTATGATAAGGATATATTTGGGGTACTATATTAGGGTCCCCTATTTTCGGTATCTCCCGTATAGCAAGCCGCAAGCACCAAACCCTACATAAGGACCTAACCGAGAAAGATGAGCACACCGATCGAAGGAGCTCTTCGGCTTTGATGCCGCATGGCTTGTGTCTTCCTCTTACCCGAAGACTCGAAGCTCCACAGCACAGTTCGCTGAACCCCAGAACAATAATCCCCAGAGTGTCACTTACATGCCAAGCTTGTCTCGCTGTATGCCATGTAACATGCAGTATATTATATACAGTTTGTTGCATGGTATGTAGAGAAACAAGGTAGATATGTAACATTATGTAACTGTACATTCAACTGGGCCGCTGCTAGGGTGTGTGAACGGAACAGATTTGTGCAGCGTGCGCTCCTTGAAGTGACAGGTTCCAGCTGCCGGCTGACCAGATGGCTGGCGAGGCTACGTGGCTGTTGATTTCAGGACTGGCAAGCGTAGGTTTAGTCGGGTTTAAGGCTATGGGGTTTTGGGTTTGGGGTACGAGATCTAGGGAGTTGCGGCTTTGGCTTCGGGGGCTCTGTGCATTGAGGGTTTTGCTTCACCTAGGATTGGGCTCGCCACAGTGAACCTTCCGGGATTCTGGGCTCGAGGGCCCAAAATCCGAAAGCCGTCGCCTGCGCTGAAAACTTGAATCCCTATAAGCTCCTTTCTCCCTACAAGGCCGGATGTTTAATGATGCTTTGCAAAACCCAAAAACACTCCCAAACCCTGAGCCCCTTTTCGCTAAACCCCTGACTAATGCCTCGCCTGGATTGTCCGAGTGTGAGCGCCGAAACCCCTGACTCCGAACCACATGCCTCGCCTGGATTGTCCGAGTGTGAGCGCAAACCTCTGATAATTAAAAAATAAACCCTAAACACCCCGACAAAACCAAACCCTGAACCCTAAACTCAAGAACAGCCCCACGCTACACGATAAGCGGCCTCACCTCCGAAGCACTGGACCCCAAGCCCTTCTTGGTTGGTCGAGTTACCAGAGGGGCCTGAATAAGCTTAACATAAATTCAAGTTATATCATAATGACAAAAGGGTGCTTAACATATCACAACACTACTGCTGACAAAAAAATATTGGTAATACACCCCAGCTTGTCAGGCCTCGAAATTGATGAAGAAGATCGACACAAATGGTGATGTGCAGTTCTCGGTGAGTGCATGACACCACGACCATGCTTGTGTGCCTGGTTGCGCTGCTGATACTGGACACGGGGTCGTGGCGCAGAGAGCTGAGCTAAGCTAATGCGACTACGGGTTGTTTCGTTATTTCTTTGCCGGAAAATGCAAGGACAAAGGCGGGGCCATCAAGGGTTGACGGGGCCTGAGCAGATGACTTTGCTTTGCGAGAAGGGCGCAAGAGCCTAGCGGGAGGACTGCATGGGTTCAAACTGACAAACCAAAGTTTGATCACAATAATTATTACGCAAGAATATTCCGATTTTTTCGGACATGGTCTTGCAAGTTCGTACCATAGCATAGGACAGCGCACAGGGCCGCTTCTGGAAAGAAAGCATTTTGCTTGTGTGTACCCGCTGGGCACGATTTTGGGGTGAGATATGGGCAGTTCTCCAGATCTACGCCTCGGCCTTGCAAGCAATAGCGACCTTCGGGGCATCGGAAATGCCTACAGTGTCCCGATCCTGCTGCTGCTCAGGGACACTTCGACGCCGCAGAGTTGTGACCTGGTTGCTATGGCATCCACACTCGAGAGCTTCGTTTGAGTTGCAGCACGTACGTGTTGTGTTTGAGGGGGCTATGGAGGATTACGCTGTTATCGCGTTGCGCGTTCAAGGCTTGCGGTTATCAAGTAGCGATGACTGTTCTGTTGCGATTCTAGAGATGCTGCTTCTCCGGGCTTTTGTCTCGAGCCATTGTCTTCTGAACGTCGAAGCTTTTGCGACGAGCACTTCCACAGGATCCCAAGGATAGGAATCCTGCTTTCTAGCATGTAGGTTGTTACGACGCGTAAAATTGGGATGACCCTAAATGAGGCCCTACATCAGCTTGCATGTAATGTGCCCATCACTCGTGGCGTGCTGCAAAGTTGTCAAAATACGGGAAGGCCTGCAAAGCAGATGTTCTCGTAGAACACTCAAAGCATTCATTCAGGCTTGCAGCTGCCATCTAAGCTTTTGGGTTCAGCATATTTGCCAACCTGCACCGACAGATGAAGCAAACGAAAGCCTGTGCAACGCTTGGAAATCCTATCGCGCCATGAAAAGCATTCATTGTACTCTCTTGGAAAGTTCTCAAGGACCAGAAAATCATGTACCCCGCCACAGAACCTGAGTACTAGTGATTCTTCGTTACCTCATCACAGCTCAAGACGAACCCCGTCAGGTACGCGGCCTATGCGGAGAGCAAGAAGAAGGCACGACGATTTCGGGCTTACGGGTTCATACCATGCATTCAAGGTTCACAAGGGTTCGGAATTTAAGGTACAATGCTGCAGAATACTTGCACCTAACAAAACCACTCCTCTCTGGCAGTTTGATCTTCGGAGCGACCGGAACCGTCTATTCCATCTTTACCTGCCGAGTTTGTAGAATGGTTCAACCTTGGTTAAAAGATCCACCTCAAACCCCATGAGCCATGAGCACTTAGGGACCTGGTCACTAGAGCCTGTGCCCAAAAATACCCTGAACCCTGCGCATAAAGGCTCCGGAGGGAAATCTCCCTTGTAGCTGTGGATTTACCTTAACCCAAATAGCGTACCTTTTTAAGGACTTATACAAAGAAATCATATTAGGAAACCCTAAAAAGGTAGGTTTCTTCAGGGTTAAGGTAACTGACCCAAAGATGGCTTTCAGTTCCACTGCCGGCAGGCCATCCTCAGCAAAGGGGACTTCCAGCTGGGGGCCCAGATTACACCAGAGGGAGACCATATACAATTACTCCTGAAGAGAGCTGTACCTACCTTTTTATGTGTAATACAATTACAAGAAGTATACCATGAGGACCAAAAAATTACGATTATCGTCATATGCGAACGGGCCTGAGTTGCTTGGGAAAACACAGGTCGCAACTAGTGGCTATGTGGGCCATCTGTGTTTTCCAGCATTTGCGCAATGCTACCACCTACGACGAGCACTGTGACCAGGACCGGGAGACCACCAAGAGACAACGAGACAGCTGAAGACCAGCAAAAGACGAGCAAGTGACCATTAACGACACCAGGAGACCTGGAAGAGCCAACACGAGACCTCCAGGAGACCAGCAGACACTGCCAAGATGTTTCACAACCAAGTACATTCAGAACCACACCCTGAGTGCATCCTCAACTACTGGCGGGATGCAGAATCATTCGAGAGCACAGCAGCCCGGAAGTACGGGCTGCTGGAGGAGAAGTCCGGAAGTGCTTTCCGACAGGTACTGGTGCCTTTCGAGAGCACAAGACTTCAGCCTTCCCCCCTCACCTTGTCTTTCCAGCTTGTAGCTGATTGTGTGGTTTGCTGTGCCAACTTGAACCGCTGACCTTTGTACGCAATGAGACTGTACGCTGATGCTTTTGGCATTTCCAGGATCTGAAGTTTCTGGTTGGTGTTTTTTCGTGGTATGTCAGCTGCCATGTGGCATGAATGCTGAATTCGTTTCAGAGTCGTTGTAGCATCAGTTGCCCTTCGGAGCTGCCAAAGGCATGCATGGTGGGTGACACAAAATCCGTCGCGCAGCCACTCCCACGAACAGGGTTCCGGAAGGGATTTCTAGGATTAGGTCTTTCAAAGGGATTGATATTCGTCGTTCTACCGTGCAAGGATCCCTGTATTTTCGGAAAGCTGCCCGGGAATGCGGCTTTGGTTTGCTTCAGTCTTCAGAGCTTTGTGGGTTTGGGTTCAGGGACTTTTATAAGGCTCAGAGTCAGCATTTATGACTGCGTCTTTCCGGGATAATTTCAGAGTAGCACGAAAGATAATCATCTTCATTCGAAGTTTGTAGCCTTCAGCCGAGAAGCGACGGTGGCACCTATGGATAAACCCTGAATCATATACCCTTTTGGGCCAGATGCGATGCTCAGAGGTACAACTGGATGCGACTCCTCACCCCCGAACAGAAGAAGGCCTTCTGTTCGAGGTCGTGGTGGTGGATCTGGTAGCTTTGGTAGCAGCAGCACAAGTACCGTGTCAGCTGCAGTCGTCTTCATGGTAGTATATAGTAGCAGTAGCAGTATCAGATCTGTCCCAGCAGCGTTATCGCAACAACTCGGACCTTCGGCCGCAGGCCCAAAGCCCAAAGGACCGAATCCCCTAAAGTAGCCTCTTACTCCCCGACCTGCACTTCTATGGGAAGCTCAGGGAGCCCTGAAGCCAGGAGTTCGTGCAGGAAGCTTTGGCCGTTTGGGTGGAGGTGCGGACACCGTGCTTCGGGGCTTTGAGGATTCGGGATTGGGTTCGAAGTTTGGCAATATCGAGTCTTGGGGGGGGGGGGGGCATTTCTGACGATGGTGGAATGGTGATGGTGGGCTGCTGATGATCCGAAGGGCGCAAAACAAAATAGAGATGATCCGAAGGACGCAAAATAAAATAGAAGCGACATGCCACCGGGATAGTGCTGTACCGCATTACCTCTACTTCCATACCCAGATTTGGACAACAGTTATGTGGACTGAGTGTGCGGGTGAAAATGTTCAATCATAGTCGCAATCGTAGTTTATGCAAGGCGACGCCGAACCTAATTAGTAAACCTACACTCCAACGCCAACGACACCTGCACAGGATGCTGTCCAGTACCATGACCTCAACCGTGACAAGAAAGTGTCGACGCTCTCCTGACTTTAGTTCTTTCGGGTTTACATCGGGGATCCACGTAGTCCACCACTTGTATTATATTCTTATACACCTTGTCTCTCGAAGTAGAACCCAAAGGCCCAGGTACCTACGAAATGAGCACTTGGTAGTATATTGGTCAGTGGAAATCTTCTGTTAGCTCGTATATGCATATCCCAGTAGTTAGGTATAGGTACCTGGGCTTCTTGCAATGAAATTGCTGGTCGACTTGGGGTCTAAACCCTACAGCCCTAAACCCCAAAACCCCTTATAGTACCCTTTAACGGAACCCTTATAGAACCTCAAGAACCCTGACAGGAACCGTTTATAGACCCCTAAACCTTAGGGCCTGCGGGCCAGGCAAGGCCATGTAACCATAAGCGGTCAGTTGTATCTGTAGCTGGAGTATACATCAGGACCCTGTAAGGGATGCTTTAAGGTTCCTACAAGGGTTTAGGATCCGTTTAAGCTCCGTTTAAGCGGGGTTCCAGAAACCATTACTGGTGCGATCCACGTGTTGACTTGAGCCTCTGTGTGATCTCACCGGCCCTAGGGCGCTAATGCTGTTGCACAAGGGCCTGGCCAGAAAACCGCTGGTCAAGAAGGACCTTGTGCTCACCATAATATGAGTTGCTTATTGGTTTTCTGAACTGCGTGTCACTATCTATGCGCTTAGTACCCATTTGGCAAGTAGGCGCTGCTCTCAACTCTGTCCTCCTTCTGGCGTCCCTCCCCTGCTGCAGAATGTAGGTTTCAATGCCGGCAGCAGCTTTGAACCCTCAGGTCTCAACCGCTAATGTTTAGATTGAGGCTCCAGACACCTACCAAAAACCCTAAAGCCCTAAAATGTACCATCGAGCCTGAAGGTTGCTTCGAAATACTGTAAGGCGTCCCCGTGTCGTTGTGTGGCATAAGTTTCAGTCTCAGTTTGAGAAGCATGTTCCGAGTTTAGTTAAAGCTTGTTGCTGAGAGGGACAACGACAGAAAAAAGAGACACAGGCGGGATTGCTGACCGATGCGTCGAGATTGAAGTCTCGAACTGAAACCCTAAGCAGCGCAAGCTGCGAACCCCTACGCTCGGAACATCTCCGGAGGAGATGCCCGTGTCAGTAATTAGACATTGTCGTGACTGAGGTTAGAAGAGCTGTCGTGCGCAGCCCAGTTGTCCGTTCAGGTATCTTCGCAACACCAACCACCCGAAGTCTGCCGTCTTGGTTTTCAACCTCAGCCCAGTTCAGCCCGAACGAAGATAGCCCCCGATCCGCATCCTCTACTTCCCAGGTAGCCTTGCACTTCAAGAGGGTCGCAGATAGTCTCCTAGGATGTCCCATGGAGAGTTCTGTTTCATTACAGACCCCATTCCGACAAGTTTCCCCCTTACTTAACTTTCAACAACCCGGCCGGGAACTGCAAGAGGTTGTGTAAGACCTTGGATGAAGGATCAACCTAAACCCTGAACTCCGAACCATATGCCTCGCCTGGATTGTCCGAGTGTGAGCGCCGAAACCCTCAACCCCAAAAACCCATTGAAACAAAACTAAACCGTGCGTGCCTGTGTGCGACTCTGCGAGTCGAAACCGGCGCTAGGGTTCTCATTGCGAGATCTTGGAGCCTAATATAGGGGCCTTAATAATTCCCTCTACTGTTTTTAGGGAGGGGCGTGCCTCATTATAATTCTAGTACAATCGGCCCCAAGACCCTATTCTAATAATTGAGGCCCCCTACAGTAGGGGCAGCTTTCGGAGACCTGTTGTAATGCCCCGCACCCTCAGCCCCAGAGCCACAAAAGGGCCCAACTAAGTAGTAACACTAATAATTCCTCAAAAGTCCTTGAGCCCTAGACTCGAAAGCCGTTTTGTAGCTGTTAAGGTGTTATGTTTCTGCCGCGAAGTTAAGGAAGCCCTTAACAGGTACAACTTCCTGCACTGGAGCATCGTCCAGGCACGTGCAAATTCGTTCCCGCCCCAGATTTTTTCTTTGGTCGTTTGGAGCACACCGAAGGACGGAGTAGGTAGGGTTTGGGTTTGTAGGGTTTGAATCCTGTGACTCTATGAGAACTGCAAAATGAATTGCAGTGGACCTACGAGTGACAGTATGAAGCTTCGCTGCGCCGTTGAGCTGTCAAGCCACGAGGATTATTGGTAGCTTTTGTTGGATCTGCCCCCTTTCTCTTAAAGCTGGTGACAGCAGACTCCGGCCGGTAAGGGCTTCTGACAGGTTTAGACTTTGGCCACATTTCAAACCCAAAACCAAGAACGTCACGACCATAGGGTTTCTCGATCCATGTATCCGTTTCAAGTTTTTGTTTTTAATGACGCACGGTTCGGTGAGTGAATATGGGGTAAAGTGTACATTCAGGGCCTATCGCGACTGATTCTGCTGACGGCGAGACGATACTTCGTGTGTCCGACCCCGTGGGGACACTATGCACTGAATGGTCAAGTGGAAAAATCTTTGACAACTCTGTAGTATAATGTAATAGTGTTATGATATTATACCGTGCCATATTAAGCTATATTGTTGGAACAACATGCAACGGGCTTGGGCCCTTCAATCTCGAACTCGATAAGCGAAATGACCTGCTTTGTTTGACATCCAAGGGCAGACTTATTGCTTCAGTGTACCGCCTTTGTGTGTGAATTTGCGATTTAGAGAAAGCAGTTCATTCCGTCCTCGGCGCAAAACCCTCCAACACCAAATATGAACACAACCCTCAAGTCCCAAACTCTAGTGCCGGTGCGTGTGTGAATTGAAACCCTGATCCAAAGTTATTCCTCACACCCTGGAACAACCCACAAAACCTAAGAGCCAAGTCAAGGTTAAGAGGTGGACCTGCAACGTAGATGCCTTCTCAAACCCCAAGCCCTCAACCCTATGCCCTAAATCCTCAACCGTAAACCCTCAAGCTCCGTTGGCCCGGTGCTTTAAGGGTCCGCCGGCTGAACGGACAGAAGAAAAGCAAAGCGTGGGCGCAGGAGCCGACGGGTAGGGTTTACGGTTTTTTGGGTTTCGGGTGTACCGGAGGGGGCTTAGGGTTCTTTCTTGAGATTCGTATTGTAAAATTTCAAAAGAGGTTACCGGGTTTTGTGGATCCGTACAGGGGGTTTGTAGCTACAAGCCTTACGAAACAGTAGGCTGCATCCGGACATACGGAGCTGGGTGGCCGTGACTGAGTTTTACAGTAGGCTGCAGGGTTGCGGGACTTTGGGTTGTAGTTGTTTGAGGCTGACAGGATGTTCAACTTTGCAAAGTCTTAGCTCCGAGAGGGTCCTAGAGTTTTGCTTCGAAGCAGTGTCGAGGCTTGGGAATCAGATGTTTTGTCGTAGGATGCTGCTAGGTATCTCAAGAGTAGCTAGGTCTTCAGAAATGACGTAAGTCGGGGTTGAGGGTTGGCCGGCTGAATAAAGTCCCAAATATTGACAGAAGTCAGAAGGGGATCTCCTATGCACGCGATGGCGTAATGTTGCCTAAGGGTTCAGGGGTGGAGGCCCCAGCCCATCCTTTAATGATATCCTTTCTACCAGGTCGGAACTTGCATGCTACCCGCCGGCTTCATGGATTTTGTTGCAGCTGCTTTGGGCTTGCCTGTTGGGTGATTCAAGACGTCTTTTCGATTCGACTGCTGGGTCTTTGAGGTTCGGGGAGGGTTGCGAGTTTAAGCGCGAAGGGTTTATGGCTTATGGTTTAGAGCTCAGAGGTTGAGGGTTTAGCTAGTGTTGCAATTGGAGGACGTGCTGTAAGCAGATGCGTTTTTTTGCTTCAACCCTGAAGCCCTCACACCCTAATGGACCCGGAAGCCGTGCTTGCATCAGCGAGTGTGCGAGTCGAAGCCCTAAAGCCAAGCGAGGAGATGATCAAGCAAGAGCAGGCGGGTCGAGAGTTCTCGGGATCAGAGGACCGGGATGTCGGGAGTTTTGAGCCTCGGAGCTCAGGTGGAGGGCCCAAGGTCTGGTACTGAAAATGCTTCTTTGACAAAGTACGTAATGTTGGAGTCGGGATTGCTCTGAGGTGCAATGCTTATAAGGGCTTAAGAGGGTTACCTACCTCGTCGGCGTACGACTACGAATTCGAGAAGTGCCAAAGTAAGTGTGCCGTTTTGCTTTCAAGTCTAAGGCTCTGGGGCTTGCAGAAGTGTTGCATCCGGTTCCGTTATGTTCCGTTCCGAAGCCCGAACTATGCAACCCAAACTCTACAATCGAATCCTTAGCTCCGCGTCCTACCGGCCAGGATCCACAAGCTCCAGTGACCCCACCGCTGACGCATTAAAGCCCTAGATCTCTAAAGCCATGAAACCATGAACCTTTAAGACCCTGAAATCCGCACCCAGTCAAGACCTGAATGAAATCGGAGGCTTATCTCGGAAAGTACTTCTGCGAGGACCCTGCCGCGGGAGGCTAAGTCCTGCAAGGGTTCTTAGCGGCAGGATTTTTTGGGATGGGATGGTAGGGCTTAGGAAGTTCACAAGGAAGATGCTTAATGTTAGGTGTCCATTTTTGGGAGGTTTGGGGTTTAGGCTATATGGGAATTTGGGTTTAGGAGTTTTGGGTTCCGAGGCGTTTATAGGTGTTTTTGGTTTTGGGGGCTTGGTCGTTCCGTTTTTTCAGTTCAGGACCCATGGTGAACCCCAATGGTTACTTTGGCTTACATATCGGCGGACCTGGTCGCCATGTTTCCAAATGTCTCGTAGACCTAAACCCCAAGCCCTCCTTCTGATCTGCACCTACTCGTGTCGGATTCTGCTGCTGCGGGGAAAGGTGCTTAAAAAAGCCCAAGCCTCTAGGTGAAGAGAGGGTAGACATGCACACCCTCTTATTCGCCGCGATGAAGGAATGCCCCAAGCCTAAACACCCTGCCCCCTTGTCCCCCACCCCGGCCAAAAACTCTGTCCCCTTCACTCGTAAGCCCCCACTAAACCCCACATGAACCCCAAAACCCTAAACCCCTAAACCCACCCCTAAATCTAGAACCTTTTAATTGACACGGTCATTTAACTTGCTAGATATCCTCCCCAAACCCGAAGAAGTGATCTGCGTAGCTACATTGTTCCCAAGGTCCTACTGGTTACGTGTCTGCTTCATTTTGTAGGCCCTTGGGAGAGGTGCAGTCACTGCAGATACAGTCACTTTACGTGTTCTGATATACCTGGCTGATTCATACTATGACTGACCCATCATTTCGTTTCACATTGTCAGACTCCGAACCATTTGCCTCGCCTGGATTGTCCGAGTGTGAGCGCCGAAACCATAAACCCTAAACTTTACCCCAGGCCCTACCAAGATCGAGCTCAGGCCTGTCCCATCTTGAAGGAGCTCGAAAGCTATGGCCAGCAGCTGCCCCTCGGACGGAGGTATTGTTGTTTGGGGTTTTCGGTGTGGGGCTTGTGGGCGTTCCAGTTTTGGGGTAGGATCGTAAGGGAGATTGTTGGCTTTAGGGCTGTGGTTCAACGCTTTGGGGCTAGGGGATGGGACTTTCGGGGTCTAGAGCTTTGGGGTTCCGGGTGTCAGGTTTGGAAAGTTGCCGTGAAAATCTCGAGTCTAAGACCTCCTCTAATGATCCTCTGTGAGGACAGTTTAGGGTCGTTGCATTCGGGGTGTTGAGGCTTTTCCAAACATAAGGACAGAGAGATGCCGCAATGCCGCGTATGAGCGCAGGTGGAGCTAAGTTTGTTGTGGTGCTATGTATAGGTACGCCTTTACATACACATATTATAACTGGCAGCCCGTCGCATGTGTTGTGAGATGACGCGTTTCTGAGCGACGGTTTGATCCTCCTTTACTCCAGCTTTCACGATGCACCGCAGTTTTGAGGGGCTCAAAGACCCCATTTCGCTTGTCGGCGCGCTTGACGGAAGATTGCTGAGGACGATGCTTGGATGCGACAGGGGGAGCTTGCGAGTTGGGGGAGTAGGAGTGTAACACCCCAAGCCCTGCACCGGGACAATTTGAATTTGGGTTCTCAGGACCTTGTGGAAGAATAGAGAAGCAGACCCCCCGCGAATTCGGGTTCAAGCTTGAATTATACTCTAAACCCCATTTCCGAATAGGTCATTTCGTAGGGTTAGGATCTATAGAGTCTAGAAGCTTTAGCCGCATTACTTCGGGAGCTGCAAGATGCTAAAGTCAGAGGATCTGTAAGTTTTCCGAGACCGGGACAAGAAACACTCAGCCTGCTTTGCGACATGTATCGACAGGCTGCAACGGACTAAGAAGGTACTGTAGGTATCAGCACCGATGCGGTATCTACGCAGGTTTCTAGTCATCATGCGCAGCTATGCCATATGCACATAAGGACACAGGTAAAAATGGGATGTCTGGCCCGTGTATGAGTCCATCCACCGCCGTCCTGGCACAATAAACGGAATGACACACCAGTGAAGCCTTTACGCCACATCAGAATGAAACGTTTGAACAGACAAACCCTCGCAACTTTACATTAAGAACAAGCTGTATTCTCGGGCCTCAATGACTATGTATCAAAACCACCAACCCAGCAAGGTTCAGAGGCAGTAACCCGGGAACTCAGAACCCCGAAAGCGAGAAGTGTACCCGGAAAAAAGAACCCCCCCCCCTCACTAAGCCCTCAACCTTGAAGGTATGGGCTCCGCGGCATCTGCAAAGTCCGGCCGAAAGGTCGTCCCTGCACCAGTTCCGACATCGGCTTCTCGTCTCAGAAAGTTTTGGTTCGGCTCCCCCCAATACTCAACCCTTCATGTCCAAAGCAGCTCATAGAAAAGGTACTCGGATAATATAATTAGGCTTGCAGGAATATAAGGTACTGGGACCCATGCCCTTAGGGCAACCTGCAAGCTTCGAAGCTCGTTGTATTTATCGTCTTCCTTTGGGTACTTCGGATAGAAGGTTTCGGGCTTACTTGGTTCCTGGTAGAAACCCTTCACATTCGTCTCAAGCTCTGAGCCTAGAGCCTGTAATTATTGAGGCTGCTATACCCTGAAACCCCATACAAGTCCTATAGCAACCCACCCCTCTGAAAACAACCAGTCAAGGAGCCCTAAGTGCTACAGTAACAACCCGTATGGAATAGAACTACGTAGGAACTTCCTCTTTCCCCTTAAAGGAGCTTATTCTCGAGGCTCAGAAGGTCGATCACTTCCAGGACCTCCTGAAGCTTTGGCTCCCGACAAGCCTTGTCTACGACAGAGTTTTGGGTTCCGAGTTAAGCTCTAGAGCTCCAAAAACACGTGGGAGTTTCCGAAAATAGGGGTTCCTTTTTTGGGGTCTTCGTAACAAGGATCCTACCATCTAGGGTGCTATATTAGGGTCTCGTATTTGGTCTCTACCTTGAAGTGCCATACCTTTCGTGTTTGTTTGCATAGGAATTATAGTTGGTAGTTGAGTAGGTAGTCTTCAACCTTCTGGTGTTCTATAATCCTATCATACTTTGTTCGAAAAGGTTAGCACGTTCTTTTGGCTGACTAGTTGGTGGCAATGTTGAATACCGTTTTACTTCGCATTTCACTGGATGTTGTGCTTCGACTAGCGGGTATCTGATGAGCTCATCTTTTGCGATTGCCTAGGGACACCCCACAGGCCCTTTCAGGCTTGAATCAGGGTTTTGCTCGCACTACGGCTCACGGTGAAATGCTTCAGATAAGAAATTATGAGATGTTAGTCTAGATTCTTGTGTGGACCATAGCCCCGAACCTGAACCCTAAACCGGTTGGCTTTTTCCGTGATGCGGTATGATGTTGTTTGGAGGATTTACTGCTTCACCGGCCATCGAAGCTCAAGGGCTCACCGGGTTTAGGTAAGGTGGTCGAGTGTAGGCATGTGATTTATTGCTCCAGCCTTGGACTGTGAGCACAAACTGCAGACTTGAGACCCCCTCGAACAGGCAATCCTGTATCCTTGGAGAATTTTGTGGAAGCTAATCCTTACATGCTAGACCCAACTGCTGAAATCACGCGAACAAGCCCTACACCCCAAACTCTAAGCAGGCTTTCGGGTATAGGGTGTTCGGTTAATCCCGAAATCCTAACCTTGAATCCAAAACACTAAATCTCTTTTGATCCGCAGGACAAGGTGACGTTCGTGAACACCTGCGAGACTGAGCAGTCGCAGCAAGGCTTGGAGACCTAGACAACCAGATCAGGTTGTTTTGGGGCGTGGGCTCTAGGGCTGCAGCGTGTTCGATTGCATGAGGGCTCTAGGGCGTGTGGGATATTTTCGAGCCGGCATTGGTATCTGTAAGCTTCAAGACTTCATATCTTGTGTTGTCTTCTGTCAAGCGGTCCCATGTTCCAGCGTTTTGGGTATGACGCTCCCTAGTTCAAGACCGGGGTGCAAAGGTAATACCTACATTATGGAGAGTAATCGGCTTTCATGGATGTTGGGCCATCATGATACCATGTTTTTTTTTTGGGGGGGGGGTTGTTAGGAGGGTTGAGGTGCTGTCCCCCTTTGCGTTTTCTTGTTTTTTTCCGGCCCCTGGTCTTCGAAAAGGTGAGTTTGCCCGGCCGTGAAACCTGATCCCTAAAGTCAACTGTTACTTCGGAGTTACCCTGCACTGCGGCCTTCGTCCTTGCTAGGTAGGAGGCGAAACAAGCTTAAAGCCTCTATGTCCTACATCCACAGCTTATGTCCTGCATGCTTGCTGTGACTCCTCCCGTCCTTCCCTAGCAAACTACGGGAGAGCTGTCTTCTAGTCCTCCGCATCCTGACTCCCTAAACCCTAAACAAATATACCCTGGACCGTGAGGCTGCGACTGTAGCACGAACCTCGATGACACAGAACCTCGGCAGCAGGGCTTCATTTTCTGGCACCAATATAAGTTGGCTTTGTGGTTCGATACCCATATCATGCCGAGGTGTTCTTTAATGTAGTTGTACTATAATGTACTCCAGAATCATGTTCGAACTATTATATATAATTCCCCTGTATCATCCTTGGATCCTTGGGCGTTTAAAGGGTTGCTGCTTTGGCACAGGGGTTTTGGATGGCCTTGGCATCTAGACTATCCAGGAAGCCGAATGACCCTGACACCGCACAGGGTTTAGGCCTTCCACCACAGCCAGCAAGCCCTCCAGTAAAAACCCTATCTTTCGAAGCCTTTTGTCATGAGGGGTCAGTGCTTAGGGCATGGGGTTCAGAGTCTGGGGCTCTTTCCAAACCCCAAAACTCAACATCCCTCAGCCCAGACCACCAAAAACCGTAGACTAAACCCGAAATTCCCAAACACCCTACCACGGAAGCTCTAAACCCTTAAAACCTAAACCCTAAACCATAAACCCACTAAAACCTTGCCCCAGAGAGTCCCAAAACCCCAAAGCATGGCCAACTTCGGCCCCCGTGGAACCGGGCTCCTTAGGGGGATTTGGGGCTCTTCCGGGTTTGGGGTCAGGGCGCCTGGAGGGGTGGTTTTGCGATGGGAGTTTCGAGTTCATCCTGTGGTTTCTTGCCATGATTACGGTTTTTGTGTTCATCGGAAGTTCTAGGGTCCATGATCGGGTGCTGAACTTGGAAAAGGACAGGGCCAGAAACAGCCCCAGCATGCTGTAAATTTGCGCGCACTTGAATATGTGCCCTAAGCCCGAAATGCCGAGCAGGAGCTGTCTCCATTTACTCAAGCTACAACATATCCCAGCTCCTACTACTGTTACAATAAAGCCGCATCGAGCAGTTATGACCCCTATGCACCCAAAACCTAGTAAATACCAGGGGCCGTGTGGCCCTATCAACCGTAAACCCTGAACCCTAAGCCTGCCCTGGCCCAAGGCCAATACGAGGAGCTGTGGCTAAGACATAGCCCAAATAATACTCTACTATAACCCGTTAAATCCCAAACCCGAAACCCCCATCATGTTAAACGTAAGCTATAAACCCTCAAAACCTAAACCCCATAAACCATAAACCGGTTTTGGCTCAGAAAGTCTCAACACCCCAACCCGAATACCAGGAGCTCTGGCTGCGGAGTGAGAAGGTGCGTTCCTCCTTCTATTCTTTCGGGGAGTCGCAGGGCATCCCTGCAGGCGCGGCCACGACTAAGCCAGAGTGTTTTTTTCGATTTTCATTTGGTAGGGTTGAGGGTTTGTGGGGGTTCTGGGTTTAGGGGGCTTGAACTGTTTCTTTGAGGGCTGCTGCTGTGTTTTTGTTTGTGCATTGTTCGTTTTTGTGATTGGTGCTTTCGTTCCCTTTTCAGGGGCATGCTCACATCCCTACGAAATCCCGAACCCTGTGCCTTTCAACTCGCCTCACGCAGAACCCTCCCAAATCCATAAGACGCACCAGCGCTCTCCGTGAAAGCTCGTCAGGCCTCTGTTGCAAATGGGTCACAGAACTTTGCATACTCTTGAGTTTCAACCTTCTTGGACTCAC